GAAGCGGAAAAGTCCTTGACTAGTGTAAGCACTGCTTAGCAACAACTAAAACATCAGTGTGTTATCAACATTGTTCTCATACTAAATCCAAAACACAGCACTGTACCAGCTACTAGGAAGGAAATTAACTCTATTCCAGCTGAAACCAGGACAGTAGGAGAATACAGCCCTGAGCTTTCTCCATTTATGCTTCAAGGAGTACACTAACCAGCGCAGAAGTTCAGTTGCTGAAACAAGAAGCCAAACCCTTGTTCTACTGCACCTGTTTGTCGTAACACACAATGTTCAAAGCTGTTCAGGATATCCAAAGAAGACACCACTAAATAAAGCAGAGTGATTACTTCATGCATCTTGTCGGCCTCTGCTGTATACACTTACTGTTCCTATCGGTACAACATGCTTGACTCTCAGCTCATGACTAGCCCCAGGTTTATTTCTGCAGGGCTACCATTACCTAACCAGTCACTCTCCCCTCTCAGATTTCAAAGCAAAGCCCTATAAGTCACTTCTGCATTTTGTCTTTCCTTATCCAACTACATTCCCCATTTTCCAGAATTTTGACTTCTATCCCATCCTCAAGATGTCCTTGTCGTCCCTTTCCAGCACTGCCCCATCTGCAAGTTTAGGAGATACTGCATTGCATCATCTAAGCGGATCGTGGTTTTATGGGGAGTGTGAAATCTCATTTTATTATGTAAAAAGAAGAACATACATTCTTGCCAGCTTTGCACCCAGGCCCACTGTATTTCTCTACCTTGCATTAACACAGTGTCACTCAAAAATGACTATAACACTCACTTTCATCCTAGGCAGAAGTTAGCCAGCAGGAGTATGATCTCTCAAACAAAGCAGTTGAGCTCTCTCATTGTCACTTTATTACCTGTGCATGGCTGTATTTATTGGCCTTATCTCCTTTTCATTCGCTTAAGATATCAGGTTTATCCAGTTTTCACTTCCGTCCTTTATACCTTATCCCTTCCCTACATTTCCATAGAACAACTAGTTTCCGAGGCGGTTAACTAGCCTATTAGATCTGACCTCTCTGAAGACAAAGAAGTATGCAAGCTGCCACCAACCTAATCAGGCCCAAGATCTTACCCCTTCTAGGTGATCACTGCAGTTAGATTTTTATTTTTTTTTAATAACAAAAAAGTAAGACTAAAGAAAAAACTCATATAGATATTAAACTTTTTAGCACTTCCCTACTGGAAGAAAAACCAAACCACTTTTCCTCAAGCTTCTGCAAGCATATTTCTAGAGTAATTTCTAAGAAGAAATTGCCCTTCAATCTTTTGTTTAGCTGCATGTCATGAGGTAATTTGGATTTTTAGATTTGTTCCTGCTTGTTTGCACTGCGCTTTTGCTCTCATCCATGGAAAGTAGGTCAGATAAGTACTTCCTGTATGTTTTCCTTCTTGTGTTGAAGGTCAGTGACTCACACAAGCTGATCTCACTACACTTGAAATATTAAAGAGTATGAACTGTTGGTGCAGAAAGAGTATGGGAAGAACCGCCAGGCTTCCCAAACTCTGCTCCCTTGAGCGTCCTTTCCAGTACGTTCAAAAGTGAAGTCAGACTTCAGAAATTGCACCATTTTGGTTGATGGGGGGGTTGGGGACCATTTTTCACCCTCCTTTCTTGCGCTAGCAATGGCAAGCACAATCCTTTGTTCTCTCACTCAGCTTGGGTTTTGAGTGCAAAAGGGGGATGCATTGCAAAAGGGGGGGTGCATTCTCCTTCCAGTGGGAAGACTCTACCTTGAAGCAGTTAGACAGCAATCTCTCCAGCTTTTTATTGAAGAAACGGATTGCCAATACAGTTTAAGACATGTCACCATACACCTTTGTCTAGGATCAAATCTAACTTCCCCCCAATCTGAATCTTCAGGCGTAGCTCATACAGGATTTCCAAGAACACCTGGACAGATTTGATGGTCTGCAGACCTTAGCAACACTCCTGAAAGGATCACAGACTGTCAGGAAATGAAATAACAACTCTTGATCTTGACTACCGAGCCAGCACCCCTTCCCCTTGTGGTGTTAACAGATGAGGCTTGTTCAGCCATGCCACACTTCCTTTCTTGTTATCCAGCATGTTCAGCCAGCCTACCCCTATGTTTCCCCTCACACCTGAGCTTTTAGCCTCTTCCCAGGCTGCTGCATGTTCTGCGTCTCCATAGCCTTTGTCATGTACTTGTTTGAATCCTAGTTTGATTTCTGTATCTTAGCAGGGATAGCTAGGTCCTCCTCAGAGGAGGAAAGTCCAGTGCAGCCCACTCTAAACCAATGGAGACCCATGCTGTTCCAGTGTAGAGTTGCCCAGCTGCTGCTCAGCAGCCACCCTGCAAACGTGAAGGCAAACTGAGACCAGTTCCTGTCCCCTAAGGTTGGCTACTGTACTTCAAGAGAGTAATAGAAAACATGATTCAGGATTAATAAAGTCTGCTTTCCACAGCTTTACACGAGAACTTAGTGAAGTCACACTGAATGTGTCCTTCTACTTAGGTGTCCCAAAGGGTCTTGTCCCAAGCTGCTCCTCTGGGAGTTGCAGCATCTCCCTTTGACCAGGTAGTTTGAGGCCTGGGATCTAGAGGGACTTTCTTTGCCCCAAATACTCAAGGGACAGTGTAGGATTATGCACATGCGGATACCAGTCAGAATATCCACAAAGTGATGTAACTTCATGACATCATCCAATTTCACAACACATGAGCAATAAGGAACATTTGCCTAATTTATATAACTGTACGGTTATATAAAGACTACACTTCTTGGTCCATAGACTACAACTTTACTAGGCATGAAAGGCAGTAACCTTTCCTTATGGCACAACAAAATACAGGTACTGCAGAAAGGTCACGCTTCATAATGATCTGCTGCTGAAGGATTTCAGACACAGCAAGGTTAACGTAAAACACTGACTCAGGACAGCATCGGAAGGGATTGAACTGATTTGGGTTTGCATCAGGTAGACGGACTGTGCTGTTCATACAACACACACCTCATGGTCAAGGCTTTTCCATGACCTTTTATTGCAGCTGAGCTACACCAATGAGAAAGGTTTTGATTAGTCAAGAGGATTAGGGGTGCAGAACACAGATTGAATCACCAGGTTGTGCTATCATACAAAAGAGCTGAAAATAAATTCCAGCTTAAAGCAAGATTGCTCTACCAACAACTTTGCATTACTTTAGCTCAAAATTTTATCATCAGACTGTTAGATATAATCAGCTAACATGGACATGCTTTTAGAAATTACTTCCATTAGCATCCAGTTTATTTTTCAGTCCACTGAAACTATTTGTGGACCATTCACATTACAATTGATGCCAGAGAGGCTGGATGAAAGCATTTTAAGTTCAGGTGGTGGATCCTTTGAAGGATTTCTGATGACATCTCATGTATTCTAGTCAAAAAACTTTCAATTCTTATACTGCACCTACAACATGTTGCTTTTTTACCATTTAACAAGCTCATATTTTTTTAGTTGTTTTTTTTAGCAGCTCAGACAACTGATTAGAAATACTTGCCTTACTTAGCCCTTTTGATTTGGTGTCACTGATTTTGACTGCATGTGAGGGGTAAAATTTTTAACAGCGTTTTTGATATGCATTAACCAGTTCCCATTAACCAGTGGAAGACACCCTTCCCCCAAGTATCAAAGCAGTCTGTTTAGGGGAAACCCTGGGGAGACTGGTAGCCTCTGTTCTTGCTGAGCACTGTATTGTTGCGGAACAATAGTTATTCAGTTCTGCTGGGACACCCAGAAAGCTGCTTAGTGGCATCTTCAACTTAATCAAGAATGGGCCAGGTTTCACAACTCATTAGCAATATTATTGGCTCCAGAAGTCTGACATACTCCAGACTTTTTTTTTTTTTTTTTTTTTAAAAAGCATCAAGTCTAACTATTCTTCAGTCTTCATCTTGGTTGCAGTCTCAATACATGAATCTTTCTATGCTTATCCCATCAGCTGCCACAGAGTTCCCTCCTGCTGGAGAACAGATCTGAAGTACTCTCTCATGATGAAGGGGAGATTTGTAGTTTATTAGTTGATCTCACCCCGCCCAAACTGGGAACCACATTTCTTTAATTTGGAGCCATGGTATATGTAAAAGGAAGAAGATTTTTTCAAATTGCTCTTTGAGGTAAGCAAAAACACTGGCTTTGCCACAAGCTGCTACAAGCCCTAAACTAGATTAAGGATGATTTGTATCCCACTCTTATTAATCCTAGTTAGCGATCAGCCCATTACAGCAGTGTCAAAAACACTTGAAATCCTCCATTATCTGAATAATGCCCTTACATTTGCACATTTGTTTCTCCTAATAAATCCTTCTTATTCAGCTGAAAAGGAATGAGCTGTAATGAGCTCTCCCACCTCAAACACCTCCCTAAGCATCCTGCAAGATTATTCCAACTTTATGGGAAGGAAAACCAATGGTTTGCTCTTACTTGAGAGACATATAAAAACAAGACAAGCATTTGGTCTCTAGTTTGGCTACCAAATATGAAACTGGAGCATCTAGAAGAAGACTTTCACAAGGATTTGAACAGCACTAAAGTAAACTCAGACAGAAAGGTTTGCCTTTCACCTTTTTCTATATACTGAAGAGCAAAGCTAGTCCTGCTAACAGAAATGCTACCTGAGACAGAGCAGCCTGAAGAGCTTCTAACCTCAGAATACTGATACTAGTGTGTGGGAAGACAAAGCCACCCGCTGAAAGAAATTTTAGCTTTGTTAAACCTTGATATTCTGCAGTTAATAGCCCACACATGATTAACTCCAATCCCAGATGTCCATGGTCTGCAGACAGCTTAAATGGTTAAGGGGGAAAAAAAAAACCAAACAAAAAACCCAACCACCAGCATCCTCACCTATCCCCCTTCTTCTGCAGGCATACGGACTGCTAGCATTAAGTTGACCATGCACACCTTCAGTTTTAACAGTCAGCCATAAACTCTGGAGTAGCTGAAACAGAACTGATGCTTTTATACGGCAAGTCAGAAGTGAAGCTTGTGTGTGAGCCTGCTACATCAGAAGTCAGTAGCAGTGTGGCACCATCTCAGCTAAGTGTTCCTTCAGTTCTTTCTCCTGTTACTCCACTGCTCCAGATAAGCACCAGTGCTGCTTGTTGACCCTGCAGGTTAATGAAGTAGTTATCTTCCTAGAAGAGCCAAAGATGCAGACTAACAACACAGACCAAAGAGCAGAAAGACAGCTACAAACTGTCCCACGAACAGCCCATGGACTGGGTAGCCTAGATTTAAGCAGTACTTTTATCCCTGGCTAGTGTTTCAATCAAAGCTGTTCAAAGCATTACAACTATTTGCCCTCTCTACTTCAGATGTT